AATAAACTAGTTTATTAAGTGAGTATGCTCTCTTCACACAGTTCATCTCATTTGCATTTTAATCTTCCATTTGGTTGTTCTATTAATACAGTAAATGTATTAGCCAGAATTCTACACTAGAAGATAATTTCAGAATATTTCATTCACTAAATAAAGGCAATAGAATATAAAGGGTAGAACAATAAAACTAGATGTTATCAAAACTGCTTTGGTTAAACTAAGAAAATACAGACTTTGAAGAACAGTAGTAATTACTATACCTGGCTCTTGCATGCTCTTTTCAACAAGCAGGTCACAAAACACTATGAAAAGGAAGTCAGCATCATTACCTTTGCTTTTCAGATAAAGTACTTTTCAGAAAAAAAAAGTGACTGAGCCCTTTAGATAAGGGAAATCTCTGGGAGCAGAGGGAGAATTATGCTGGAATCCTTCTGACATATGCATTAAATCACACCACTCATGATGAACCACTATGGAAATCTGATGAACAAGCCACGGCTTGTCTCACACATTTTTTAGTACTGAGTGTGAACCGTTCACACCAGCTTCCCATAGTCTTTCTGCACCATAACCATAAAGTAAAGGCTCTTTGAGGGACACCAGTAAGCCATTTCCTAAGAACAGCTCTTCACCAGGTTTTGGGAAAGGGTTATAAATTACTAAGTCAAGCATCAAAATTGTCTACTTGCCCAGGATGCAACTCTCTCCTTTTGGCAAGGCCTGCATTTCTTCCTCCTTAACACAAACTACATGTTTCTTCCAGAAAACTGTTACAGTAACGCTAGCTGACCGCTCACAGGGAAAATGATTTTCATGTGGTCACTCTAATCACAGTTGAGTAACAATACTGTGTTTTCTGTCATCCTATAACTTTTACCTTATAGGAGATCAAAAGGGCTCTTCTCAGCCATCACAGCAACAAACTTGTTAGAAAAACAGTGGTCCAGAGTGATATTCCCTGCTTATCATATCATATATGAGAAAACTGCAGCAGTTGTTGCTTTCTTGACACTAATAGGGAAACGGTAAGATTTTAAGGAACATTCACTGAAGAAACTACCATTTCCAGTGACTTAACAACTTAATCACAAAGTAATATATTATGGCAAAGTAATATGTTATGGCAAATTCATGTACCATAGCAAAGGCATATAATCCATTTCAATTCCCTCTGTGTGGATATAGAAGGCAAATAAAAACAAATGTAAAAGAGGAAGAGTACATAGGTAAAATGAGAGATAGTTATTATTTTGGGGAAATAATAACAAAGAAATTGTCTACAATGGCAGAAATCTTACTCTGCTGACTAGTTCATACTCTCCTATTCTATCACTGATGCTTACCATATACAATTTTACATGTTATTTTATGATAAAGACCTCAACAATTAAACCAGCTAGTATCAAATTGCACATTGAACACTTTCCATTTAGGAAAACTGTCTGGCATATTAATTGCAATGTATTTCAGTGTAAGGGGTATTGCTGTATTTAATGCTTTAAGAATGGGAAAGGGGAACCAAGCCCTCAGAAACACCCAGCTCACTAAACCAAGGGTCCTCAGTGGAATTCAGGCCAGCTCAACACACTGTCATGGTTCAATCACAGTGTGTATCTTGGTCAGGTTCAGTAATACTGCATGACAACCTTGCTGATAAGCAGGTAGCCTAATAATGAATTTCATACTATAAAGCCATTTTAATTAATAAGATAATAATGAGATAATACATTGTCTGATTTGATTACATTGTTCTTCAAAAAAGTAATTTTACCTCTTATTTCCAACCTCTTTACTCCATACAGTAATTCTTCATATGCAATGTGTTGCAATAAGATTGATATAATTTTTTCTGACCAGGACTTCAAAAAAAAAACTAAGGCTATTAGGTGCCCAGTCTACTTTAGCCAATTCTGAAGCACTCAGATACAATATTTGACAAGTCAGATCCAGAATAGCATGTAAAATTAATTGAAATTCCCAAAAAAGTATTTGAAGTCATCATCTACCAGTTGCTAGAGCAGAGTATTTGTATATGGTGATGTCATTATCTCTTTGTTTTGTGAAAACATATTTTATTTATGTGACTTTAGCCCATTACATTATGACAAATCTCTGGCTCTAAAAAAAAGTCACTTCATGACAAAACCATATCTTTAGTCACTGCTGACAAAATGGTGAGAGATTCTACTTGGAATCCCGTTTTAAGCAGACATAGCAAACTAGAGAATTATTGCTCATTTTCGTTCTTGAATTTCTTCAAGGCTTCAGGGAATTCATTTATTCATAATCATCTGCTGTTAATAAGATATTAGTGCCTCATTTTCTCAAATATGCACACTCTGTCTCTGCTCTCGCAGTGTTTTCCTGCACAGTCCTATGCAGTTGCAACATACAACATCTCACCAGCTACCATAACACAGAAATAAATAATCTTCCTGTGCAGCAGTGCCATCAAAAGTCAAATTTAGCTAAGCTTTAGAGCAGCCTTCAAATTTCTGGCATGATTTTTCAACAGCAAATTGTTGTGCACATCTTTTTGGCACTCAGTAAGTCTGAAATGTCTTTTAAGCTATAAATTTATTGGTTTAGTTTAAATATATGCAACCTCCAAAATGGATGTAACTGTGACCAGGGAAAGAAGTTGCATAAGGCGTTATTATTTGTGGTAGACAAAAACTATGGGTTATATACTAATGAACAATAATTAACATGATTAGGTACAGGCTTGCTAAGAAAGCCAAGGCATCTCTGATGCTACTGTTGTGTAGAACACTTTTTCCTAGACCTTTGCCATTTTCTGTGTACTAGCTGGTTTCTTCTCTCCTCCCTGATTCCTGCCTGGAAACTGGAGTGATCCTACTGCTATCAATTCAGTGTTCCAGCAGCAAGCAGTAGATTTTTGCACTCATTTTTCCTGCACTTTTTTTTCCCTTGCCAGTAGTGCTTCTCTTTCCCTGACAGCAACAAATGTGAAGTGGGTGAAGGGGCCCTGTGAGAGAAAGAGCTGTGCTGAGATGTAGCCACAGCTTGTATCTTTGATATTAGAAACCTTTACCTTTAAGGACATCAACAGAACACTTCTCAGTCTTCACAACAACAAATACCAAGGTGTTAAAAAGTGGGAATCCAGGATGATGTTCCCAGATAAAGCTTCAATAACTAGTATTTCCTGCTAAATCTCATGTGAACTGAAGTAAACTCACTAGTCAGATCTTTCTTTCCTCTTTAAATATATATTATATATAAATATATAATTTCTTTACAAAAATTTATTATCTTTTTAAAGACAAAAGACAACTGGCATATGCAATATCCAAACTTAGCTATTCCTGACTTTCAGTCTAATCTTAGACTTCTGTGAATGCTGAAGAAAGTGATAACAAAAAGTATTAAATAAATTAAATGATTGAAGGTGAAGAAAAATATAAACTAACTGTGAAAGATACATAATGCATATTTCTTAACTGGAAGTATCTGGCCAAAAGCTCCACAATTTTTGTATCCAAGGACTTAGAAAACATGGATAAAATAGTCATAATATCTGCAAATAGCTGCAAAATAAACTGAGGGCTGAGGTCACTTGGCTTGTTCAGCCCGAAGAAGAGGAGACTGAGGGGAGACCTCATTGCAGTCTGCAAATTCCTCATGAAGGGAAGTGGAGGAGCAGGCTCTGATCTCTTCTCTCTTGTGATCAGTGATAAGACCCAAGGAAATGTCATGAAGCTGTATCAGGGGAAGATTAGTTTGGATATTAGGAAAAGGTTCTTCACCCAGAAGGTTGCTGGGCACTGGAACAGGCTCCCCAAGGAAGTGGTTACAGCACCAAACCTGACTGAGTTCAAGAAGCATTTGGGCAACGCTCTCAGGCACATGGTGTGATTCTTGGGGTTGTCCTGTGCAGGGCCAGGAGCTGGGCTTTGGTGGGTCCCTTCCAACTCAGGATATTCTGTGACTCTGTGATAAACAGTTTCAAGTATCCTCTTAAAGGCTACAAGCAGGTCTCTCTCCAGATACATCTGCAGTTTGAGTGCTAAACTCCATCAAGTCTCCCAAAATAATCTGTCTGGATCTCATACATAACAACATATCCATACTTCATTCCCCAGTCTTCCCTTCACATGAAGGTGAAAAAAGATTTGTCAAGGGACTTGCTAAAGATATATTTAAGCGTTGTGTGAAAGACCATGCAGGAGATCTAAACTTTATACAGGCTTCTTCTGCAAGGCACAGAAAACTTGGACTTTAACAGTTCAAAACTCCTGCTGAGGATCAAGCAGCATGAAAAATTTCCATACCATCCTTGTTACTTTGTTGTGACAGATTTGAATAAATCCAATGGATTAGAAAAGCCACACAAAAATTCCCACAACAGGTATAATTCTAGCCTTGACTTTTTTAAGGACTTTAATCATTCTTGGCTCTTCCAGAAGGTCCTTCAGAAGCATTAGGCACTAAAGACCCATGTAGAATGGGTCTTCCCCTAGACTTCCATGTAGAATGACATGGAAGCCAAAACTGTCTTTTTCTATCCATCTTAGAAAAGCCATTTCAGAAAAAAAATGGGGGTTTTTTGAAGGAGAGATTGGAGCTGTCACTGATACACACAGTGGTATTTTCCTTCAAGGTTGCTTTTGCTATTAATGTATCTAGAGTTATCTAGGGGATTATATAACCAAAAAGACTGTACCAAGGCTTTGGAGGTCTGTCACAAGGGAGCAAAGAAATGCATTTTCCAGAGATACATGAGGGCTAGCCATCTGAAATAGTACATTGTGCACAAAAGTCACAAGGTTAAACTGCCAGCATTTTTCCTTTCTTCTCTCTCCCTTTATTCCCCTCTTAATTTAAAGTGAAAAAGGTCACTTTAAAGTGAAAATGGTTGGTAAGCCCAAACCCAGATGCTAAATTTCCCTGACTAGAGCAGCTGGCAGACTTGAGCTACTGGCAGTCCTCACCACTTCTGGAGAGATAACTCCATAAATTCAAGAGTAAAACCGTACCTGTGATGTGGTAGCCTTTGTTTGTCCTGGATTATTCTTTGTTCTGAGAAGAAAAAGAGAAAAAAATAAAAAGAGGTTCTAACAGCTTCACTTGCTCTACCTTGCATAAATTTGATATTTCTAACTTACTATATTAACAATAAGTTCTTTTAACATGAAGGAATATTAAATATATATATATATATATATCTCCCATGAAATAGTGAGCACAGTTTTAGTGCTGAATGGTGCCACATTCAGTTTGCAGACACTCACTAGTGGGTATCCCCAAGGCTCAGTATTGGTCCCAGTCCTGTTTAATATCCTTATTGATGATAGCAGATTGAGTGTACCCTTGCTAAGTTTGTAGATGACACCAAGTTGGGTGGCAGTGTTTTTCTGCTGGAGGACAGGAAGGCTCTGATGAGAGATCTGGACAGATGAGAGATCTGGACAGGCCAAGGCTAAGTGTATGAGATTCAGCAAGTCCAAGTGACAGGTCCCAGACTTGGGTCATAACAACCCTATGCAGCACTACAGGCTTGGGGAAGAGTGGCTGGAAAGCTGCCCATGACTTCCTTCCAGCTTTTTTAGGTATCATGGGAAGTTAAAAGTTGTCAGAAGACATAAAGCCCTGAGACCTGTCTGCCATGGTATAATTAGTAGGTCTGAATTCAAAGGGCTCACTATTAACCAGCAGAAGACCATGTACACAGGTAACACCCTTTTAAAAGGACAGTCTAAAATTATAGTCTACTCCACTCTATTCACTTACATCTTGAAAACATATTAGTTTGATTTCATGCTACATACAAATGGAAAAATTAATTTCTCTAAGAAAGAAGGGGTTTTCCTGTATTTTTGGACTATTTCTCTAATGAAGGAGGAAGTTTATGTGATAACGCTATTTATCCATATGTCAGCTTTCTCCAAAGAGTTTTTTATCGCCTTGGCCAATTTCAGTAAATCTGACTGAGACAGAAGTCTCAGGGGATAAGAAACAGAGAAGGCAGAGAACTGAATTAATGTCATAAGGGAAAGGGAAGGGAACAGGAATGGGAAGGAAAGGTGTGAGATCTGTGACTCTCCATCTCACTGCAGGCAGGGCAGGCAGTGAGCATCACCCAGCAAGACCCCCTGTAGCACAGATTCAGGCACAGGACCTGCGGCCAACGGTACAGCTGCACAGGGAGAAGGCAACTTGGTGGGAAGCAGGAGAAATAATAACAGCAGTGGCAGGAAGTATAACAAGAGGAGGTGTAGGTATGCCGAGAAGGGTTGAAGGAGGACACAACAGGTGGCTGGGGTTATAAGGAAAGAGGCAGTGGACAGGAGACAAATCCAAAGAAAGTCATTAATTCTGCTGCTCTCTGAAATGATTGGGCTTTTGGGAAGCTGAGGAGGGGACTCTCAAGCTGACTAGCCAATAGACAGGATGTTTCTCTATTAAGGAATTAACAGATGAGGATTAGGAGCACAGGAAGTTTACCATAGAATTGAAAAGAATTTGGGAGAAGTCTTGTTGAATAAATTGTTCCCTCTCTGCAGAACCTACTCATTATTCCACTGATGTCCTCTGCAGAAACAAACCAAATGCAGCCCCTGCTCAAGCACACAAAAATATAATTAATCTTTTCTTTTCCCAATTGCCTTCTTCTCTGATGAACAGAACTATCACCACTGGATAAAGAAGAGGGATTTTCTGAAATATGTCCTTGAGGTAATAAATGTCATCCTCTCCAAAAAGTAATCTCACCTCAAGATAACTAAATCTTTTTTCCATTCATCAAATATCAGAGAGATAACTATCCTTACTTGCTATTTAAATTCCTCTGCAGAAATTGAATTCTCGCCTCACAAATAAAGATTGTTGCAATTATTTTCTCAAACACTAAGCAACATTCCTCTTTAAAAAAAGAAAAAGCAGTGGGACTTCAGTGGAATAGCATAATCTGCAGACTGGGGGAACAAAACCATTTGTGCCTGTATTCTGTGCTCTAAGAAGAATTCAGCTGTAATTTCCTGAGGGTTTTTTTTTTGGGGGCGGGGGGGACGGGGAAGAATTTTCCCATTAACTGATTATTACTTAACAATTTTTGAATAGAGTTTTTGGGTCTGCCAAAATTCAGGTAAAATAAAACAGGTTTATTTATAGCTCTGGTCTGCATTTGCATGTCATAGATGCATATATGTGATGAATTTGCATCACATATACATTCTTCTGAAACAAAGCACAGATTTGATTCCACTCCAAAACTCCACACAAAAAAAAATCAAAGTGACTGGAGTTACAAAAACACTGTGGTTGTCTGAGCACCACAAATCCATCTTTCTATGACAGAAAACAAAACAAGAGAATTCTTTCCTTACTCTACAGTTAGTTGCTTTAGAGAAAACAGTGATAAATCATCTTTAATTCAACTGACATAAATCATTAAAAACAATCTACTTTCATTGTCTAAAGACTCAACAACAGATCTGCTTCAGAATATGCTGTCTCAGAAAAATGTAAATAAAAAGTATGTGTGTTTCTGACATATATTTGTCAATCCACTTTTCTTGAACGCTATGAAAGAGTTCTTTGTTTTGTTAAGAACAAATCTTGATATAACTTCATATTTATAACCTTCTACAAAACAGAAACAATGGCCACAGAATTTGCCATTTTTTTGATGTTTATTCAGCTTTATTAGTGTTTAAGTTATCATTTTCAATCAATCCTTTTACAAATAAGGTAGCAATTGATGAAAACACCATATGAATTGACCAAAATCCCCTTTATTTTTAATTCTCCATTTCTTCCCCTTTTCCCCTTTTGTTTTAGTTATCTCAAAGTCTGAAAGGAACATAAGTTCTCCCCCATAAGTCACTATTCATACAAACCTGTTTCAGAGCTTGCAAAGGCTTGGGCTACTTAAGCCACACAGCCTCTTACAGCAGGGCAAGTCTTTCCCAGAGATAGACAAGAAATCCTGGCTTTTCTGAATACATGTCTACACCTCATGTCCCCTGTTTTAAAATGATACTGTCATATTTTCTATGTGGTTGCATAACTGTGTTTGAGAAAAAGTATTAAATTATTTCTATAATGATGACAACAGCTATACTAGTTGCCTTACAGAGACTGTGGGATTATATGGTAACAGAATAGACGTGACAAGGCACTCTAGGAAGGATGTTTCTTCCCTCATATGCAGAGAGGATCATAACTGGGTAGGTCTGACAGTAGGTCTGTATTCTATTTATGTTCTCTAGGAGTTCTAAGATGTGACTGGTATTTAATTTCATATTAAATGTAATAAAAATTAATATCGAAATTAAATATTTCAGCTAAAAAACAAGATGATCACAGATATCAATAATATCTGTCTGATTCTTCAGGTGTGTTAAAATTGTGAGATTTTTTTCAAGCTTCTAGGACGGTTTTTTGTGGGTTTGTAGGTGGGTTTTTTTCTGTTTTGCATACATTAGCATTATCTCAAACAGCATATTTGCTTCATCTCTGAAGTTTCAGTCAATTCCTGCAGCGATATCAGCAAGTGCTTATAATAAGCTTTCGGAAAACGTAATGAGGATGATCATTTCTCTTCAGTTCTTGGCTCTGTGCTAGAACACAACAATAGGATGTCATCAGAATAAAAGTTTGAATCAGGACGTCTCATTTGCTTCCTTTCATTAGTGTTTGGGGAGCGGAGGGTTGTTGTGACAGTTGGTCAGTAGTGATTCAATTATGTGCTCCATTCTCTGAACTTCAGTTCGAGATGTCCTTTGGCAAGCTGAGCAACTGCTTGATAGAGTATGCAAAGGACATGACTGATTTTGATAGATTTGTCATGCAGCATGCCTTTGAAGGTGCACTACAAGCTGTGGAACATCCATTTCACCGAAGGTTCCCATTAAATTTAGTTCTCCTCTCTCTTTCGTAGTGAAAGTGATCTGTAGCATATGCACACACCACTCAGCATGTGAAATTGTATAGGCCAAAATGAGAGGAAATCCTTAGCTCACAAGTGCTAAGGACTCAGAGATGGATATGTCCTGATGTAATGTCACTTTGTTAATGATCACATCTCAAGAGAGGGAACTCGTAAAGGAGCATTTCTCTGAGAATATCACATCCGGCCTCAATTGTACAGGAAAAGTCACAAGGGGCCCCCAAAGAGTTCCAGTAACATCACTAAGATCAGATGCCTTACGGTGTTTAGGGCAGGTGAGCTCTCCCATTTCTGTATCTTAGAATGCTGAACTGTACAGGAAAATAAGTTTTTTCAGCCTTTAGAGTTCAAAGAAGCTTGGCCTAGGGGACCCCTACCCATCTCGGTCTTCTGAAAAATGGAGGCAATGGAACAAATCATGAGTTAAACTTACACCTGCAACAGTGTAGTAGTTTTAGTCTAGGCCTTCCTTGGCAACCAGTTTGTAACCAAGGAAGTAGCTATATGCTCAGTATTCCCTACGATTTTTACATAAACCAGCGTATAAAGAAGAAGGGAGGGGAGGCCTTCACTCTCTTCCCTCCCGGTGGCTCTGAAGGTGCAGGTTCCCCGCCGTTGGTTCTGCTGTGTGAGGGAGTGAGGCCGAGTGAGGCCTTGTAGACCTTGGGAGGCAGAGGCTGCCAGCGGTCCTTCAGCGCGACTTCTGCTGTCCCAAGGAGAGTAACTGTAAGATATTCTTTTGCTAATTCTTTATTCTGCTAGTCTCTGAGTTTTTAGATTGTGCATATCTGTTTTCTTTTCTCCCTTTTTGTCCCTTTTTGTCCCTTTTTCCCATTTTCCCTTCCCCTCTTCCCCTTTTCAGGAGTTGTACATAATATCCTTACTGTATATAACTGTAATATATGTAAAAATACATATATATTTTTATATAATTCAGTTGGTTTCAATTTCTCTCAGTTTCTATAGGTTTTTTTCCTTTACCTAAAGGGGAAGGCAGGGAAAAGGCTTTCGCTGAGCTTTGAAGATTTGGCAGGAAGCCAGCTCAAAACTTGCTCAAGCAGACAAGAGATCTTGCTAATATATTGCAGTCTAGGCTTATCACTAGCCTTTCACTGATCCCCCTGGAACAGTCATGTGAGTTGAAGGAAGGATTGCTACCAAGGGAACCTTCTCTGCAGAAAAACCCTTCTTCTCACTTTTGATGCAACGAAGTCCAACTTGCATATCTGGGAGACTCAAGCCTTATCTATTCTGCGAGATTTTCCTGAGAACTTTAAGACTGAATAAATGTTCTGGAGCAGAGGCATTTACTATCTTCTTAGATACTTTTTACAAGTACCCTAGAAATCTACTTTTTGAGAAATATGACCATCATGCAGATTCTCATGGAAATATGCTGTAAGCATTAGTAGAGCAAAATTATTTCATTAAAAATCCTAAAGCAAGAGAAAACATCATTGCAGATCATCAGCCTATGTGTGAAAAAATACAAAGCTATTCTATTTTGACTTCCTTTCAGGACAGAGTGCTGCTATTGTGCTTGGCAGTGTTACATGAAAGCAAATCTTCTCTTAATTCTTAGTTTTTCAGAGAAGAGAAATAATAGGGAAGTTATAGTACAACTATACTATAGTGACAAGTGTACTAACTATACTGTACTATAGTTAGTGTAGCAACTGTAGAAAAAAGTACACTTATACTTATTGTGTATAACAATAACTACCTAAGACTGATAGATCATTCCTAGAGGTGTTTAAGGAAAGACTGGATGTGGCACTTAATGCCATGATCTAGTTGACAAGGTGGTGTTTGGTCATAGATTGGACTCAATGATCTCAGAGGTCTTTTTAAACATAGTTGATTCTGCAATTCTGCGATCTTTTTCTGACAATATTAATGAATGTAACCAGTTTATTAAAATCCTATTTTACTATAGCATGATAAAAAGGTTAAGGGAAATAGGCATCACAGTGCTAGAAGGTTGCAAAAGAATTTTGCTACCATGAGCTCATAATTTTACTAAACAGATATTTTGAATATATCACTCTTATCTAACCGATACCCAAAGGTTATTTGCATGATGCAGTGAGATTTCTTGGGGAGGTTGACTTACTGAGAGAAAGCTAACGCATATTTTGATTAAATCACACTCATTGGTTGTGTATATAATAGATAAATTTGAAAAATGGTAAATAAATAATACAATTGAATAAGTATGGCGAATTGTGATATCTAACATACCTCATCACAGCATTTTGTTGATTGTTATTTAAAAATACTTTATTATGGTTGTTCCTTATGGCAGGAGTCACTTAGGAGTATTTTTAGCAGGAGATCTGCTAGAAAATGCCAGTTTTTCAAAATATTTTTGAGATATAAATTTTTAGCTCTTGTCCCAAAGTATTTATAAAAATCAGAATAGAAAAGGATATCACAGGGAAATCTAACTCCACTGGTGTGAAAATACTAGCTTTCTTCTTAAACAAGTGCTCAGAGTCTTTATTTTTGTTAAACTTCTGTCTTTTTGGAATATTCAGCTTTATTGCTCTTGCTTTCTTACATAAAATTGCCTTTTTAGCTAGTGTAACTCGGTGTTACTTTAATACCATCTTTCTTATATTCAGCTTTATATAACGTTGATTTTGCTATATATGACATTATTTCTCTGGAATGGTTAGTCTTATCAAAATGTCTCTTTAATCACTGCTGTTTAGTTCATTATTTCCATATCACTGTGATGACTCCTCAGGGAAGGCAACACCTGTCAGAGGTTCACTTTTATAAAATGTGCTTGTGTAATATTGCAGACATTAATTTTTAAAGTGAGACAATAGTGTTTCATCTCAGTATTTTCTGCTTTATAAGCAGAAGACTTCATCTAAAGTTTCTACTTCATCATACCTAGTTTTGAACTACTGTGATATTGAAGAAAGAGTTATGAAATGGTCAAGTAAAAATCAGAAATTCTCCAGTGGAATAATTATTTATAATAATCCTTTCAGTAATACAGGGTATGTGCTTTCTTTAGGGAAATAACCCTTTTTAATAATCTTTAGGGAAATAACCCTTTTTAAGATTCATTTACTCAAGATCTGATTTAAATTTTATCTAGAAGGTTGAAGGAATGTTTTCAAATGTACAACACTTTGGGACCAAGTAAACTGTCTTCACACTGCATGTGTAATATGCTTCTCCTGTTAAATTTTGTGCTTAGAATGTGGCCAAAGGAAGTGAAGTGGCTGAAATGAAGTCATCAACAGAGCCCCTGAGCAAGCTATTGAGGTACTTGAGAGCAGTTCTGCTTACAGGCATTCAGTCTCAAGCAGTACAAACAACCACAAAAACTTCCTGAAAAGAGGTTATATCAAATGTTCTCAGCAAAAAAGTTTAACTTCTAAACACAGCTGATCTGCTTAAAGGAAATCAGTCTTCTTGCACCAGAAGCAGGGAGGGAGTAGCAGGTTCACTTCTTCGCTGTTTCTGTACTTGTGGCTGCTAACGCCATAAATAGGTCCAAATGCTCTAATATTCAACACTAAAGCAATAGTTTGAAAAGTGACCCCAAAATAATGTTCAACATTATTTGCACTTAGCGAGAAGTTTGTATAATGAAAACCTTGTACGTATCCGTTCATCTGCTGATTCATGCAACTACTCAGTGACCATTGTAGGTTCCCGCTTCTCCCTGCACAGACCAGCTTCTGAGGCAATCTGCTGGTGATGAGATGGACAGGTGCTACTGCTTCTCTCTCTATACCTTTGTTTGGATGTTATGAGAGATGAGGTTCTCAGAATTTCTAGAAATGTAACTACATGGGCACACCACCAGATGGATAAGAAGATCAGGTGATGAATTTTTCCCCTCTGATACATCACTAGATCTCAAGAAGTTAGGAACATTTTCTTGTGCTTAGAGTAGAGGGTGAATATAATCTATTTGCCTTCATAGTGCTACAGATCTGTCAAGCCTTAGGTATTATCTCTCATTCTGATATATTTAGACTATAGTTCATGCTCTCCAAATATCTTTTGCTCATGCATTGACTGCATTATTTCTTGGTCTCTGGCCCCTTGGTGTTATATATGATAATTTGACAGATACAGATACTTCATATTTGCTAGCTCTTTCACAACCACTGTTTTACAGGAAGCTAGACTAAACTTTTTTCCCTAAAATCTGTTTTATTTTCTTTAAAGATGAAAGCTGAGATTCTTTTATGATTGCCAGCATCCAGGGAAATGGGGATTTAAGAGAAAAACCTTAACACCATGTCAGTGAAAATATAATCAGAGCCCTCCTTTGTCAAAGGTTCCAGTAGGACAATGGTAACACTTTGTTGGGAAGCATTGTGGGGTTTTTACACTATCTTTGATGTTATGAAAAAACATGTTTCCTGTTAAGGTTCCTAACCCATAGCACAACCTCAGCCCTCTGTGTTCCAGATCACAACTGATGATATATAAGATACGCAAAGCTTGAGGGTAATATATTTCTTTCATAATCACACTCGACTGACAGTAATAGAATAAAACCTATGAGATGGTGGAATAATTTTCAAAAAAATTAATCAAAATGCTGGATTTCAGTAAAGAGTATCTTTGATGCAGCATGTATGTGGGAAGGGGAGTTGATAACCCACTGGAATTTATAAAGAATTATATTCCTTGTTCTGCTTCTTACAAAAAGCCTTCAAACACACATGGAAAGATATTCTTTCTGTTATGCATGTTTTACTACAAGCTTGTTCACAAGCATAAATATATCCTCACAAACTCTCACACAAGGAACTAAATCACACAACTATGATTCATTTAAACTTTCAGAAATTTAACTTAATTTATTAATTTATGTATTAGTAAAGGGCAACTAACAGCTTCACGGTGATCTCAGCTGCTCTGCCCACATTCTATACCAAATCTGATGCTTGGAAACTGCATTCCCAAAACTGCCATCTCTTTCACACGCCATACACACTCGCTTAACAGAATATGGTTTATGAAGATCTTTTGCTTAAATAAGCACAAATCAAGGATTCAGCTAACCATTCAACAAAACAAATTATTCCTCTTACAGTCATTGCTTCAGTCAAACTTGACAATGAAGGATTTAACCTGTTATAGAGATAGGAAAATATTCTACTCTTGCTTTTAAGTCTTTTTCTTCAAAAACAACACTCAAGTACAGAGGTATACGCCTTTCCAAAAAACACTTCGTCATGTCTGCTGAAGAGGAAAATAACCTTTGCTGTGAAACACGTTTTCTTTACAAGCTTTTGCTCTCAAAATAATTTATTGCTGTTAAATTCCTCCAAAATCTTCTGAAATAGATACATAAAATATCCATTGTAATTGCTTGAACCAGTATGTGAGACCTAACTGAGATTAAAAATTGGAAGAATATCAAGCAAAATGCAGAAAATACTAAAATGTTTAAGTTCAGTCTTTTTCAAAGGCTGAAGGGCTCTAGAAATTAGAATTAGTAGTTTGGAATTGCATGAAGTACTAAGTTTTTGCAATAATTCATGCTTAAATAAAATTGAAAAAGGACAGTGAAAAAAGAGCATTGAGTTAAACTTTTTTGTTCTCCGGAGAAAGGAAGACCACCAGTTGTAGTCATACAATGTGAACAGGATTCCTAATTGGTGTTACTTTTTTTGCCTTTTCTCTATGTCTGTTACTTAACCATATTCAATGCCCAAATTAGTAAGTGAAAAGTTTTCTTAATGCTAATAGAAGATTATTAAGACAATAGATGAAATACTGGCACTTCTCATGGTGTCTCTCTAAACAGTGTTTGGGCCAAGTTTAGATAATTGATCATTGTGGCTTACGTGGGTAGAAAGTCAACCTTTGGGCTTTAATCTGAGACATTTGAGTGAAAAGTGAGTGTACTACTGCCTGGATGGTTACATGTGATACTGGATTGTTGTGTCAAAAAGCAAGTCCATCCCGGCTACTCCATTTTCAAAATGATGTGGCTGGTAGTGACTCACTTTTACATACGAGGCGTATGTGTAGTATAAATAGCTGTATTTTCTAAAATGGAAGTGCTTCATACAGAGAGATCAAGTGTATTTGTGTACACTGAAAATTTTCCTATCTCTATAGCAGCTGTTTATAACTTCACACTGAGGAAGGGGAAAAATATCATGCCTTGACTATGATACAATTTGGAAAGCTAGGTTGATAAAGGATACTGTCCATTCCAAGAACAACAGCTTTACCTTCCCACTCTCCCGTTTTTTTAAGGAGCAAGGCCAAAAATTAGGGCTTTCCCCTAAGTCTCCCTCCTTAACCCATCTCTTTTCCCCATCATTTACCTTCACAAGGCAGGAGTTGTATGCTTATAGCCCTTCATCTTTGATACAGCAACATTCAGCTTTGCCTGTACTGTTGAGAAGACACAAGCCAAACATGAAAAGCAATAAGAGCTTGACAGATCTAGTTTGGGTGCACATGTAAAGCACTGAGAGAATGACAGAGGGACAGCTGCTTCAACAACTGTCCTTAGGACTTGGAGTAGAGTAGGACTCCTCTAATTACATGCACAGAAGAGTCTTCACCTAAGATCCCTCGTTGAACCAATGCTGCATTATGGCCTACCATGAAGAAACATATTTAACTCTCTCTGTCTAGAAGTGCATTTTGTTAAACACAGATTTCACAATTTCAGATATTTCCAGGGGAGAAAGACTGCATGTGGGAAACAGGGAGACGGGGGCTAGGTGAAAAAACTAGAGGAAAATAGACTTTTTGGATATGATGCAGCTTTGCAGAGAAGCTCTGGTTTTGCAGAAATGGACAAATAACTTCCCAATCTCCAATGCATACTTGTAACTTCAAATTCGCAGCCAAAGACTAGTATGCCTTCCCTAGTTCATCAAATATAAAATTCCAGACTATATCAAAGTACAGCAAATGTAACAGTTACTTCAACATCTTCTAGTGAAAAGACACTAGAGTTGTCTCATTTTATTTTTTTGTTTCTACATCATTTCATCAGGCAAAGTCTCAGCAGGAGTATTCAGTATCCTTCTAGCCAGTGGATTACCTGTACTAGGTGGGACATTCATTCTATCATGATTGAGGTGAAATTATTATATTAACAGGAAGACAATCAAAACAAACAAAAAGCCCCCCACGTAGTTTCTGGAAAAAAAACTCCTTGGTTTTTAGCAATGGCACTGATAGTAAGTGCCACTGACTTTTAAAGAGGTTTAAACACTCCAATGCGTTACCACATTTGAAAACAGGACCTGAACATCTAGTTGACTCAAATGCATTAGGAAATTGTACACAAGGTTAAGCTAGATAACCAGTTTATTTATTTATTTATTTATTTATTGTAATTGACATGCTTCTCAGAACCATTTTAAACATACACCTCTTGGGTTTTGACTTAATCTTTTATATATAGCATTGTTGTGAGCCCACTGATCATTATTTTTGTTCTATTGCTCCCACCTGGAAAGAATGAGCCTGTAATTGAAAAGGCAAATTTAGCATTTATATTGGTAATAACACAGTTTCATTGCCATCCTCCCCAAAAAGAATTTGAACATTATGGTGAACCATATCTCATTGATAAGTGAATAGAAGGGAAGTAAAGCTTTCTCATTACCAGGTCCTCATGAGCCAAGTCATTTTTTTGTTGAGCAGAGCCTTCTATTGTGCTGTAACAATTACTTTTGCTCCCAGATATGATAACTCTTTGAAGCTGTACCTGGGAGACGCACACGATCTACATTAGCAGGGGAGTAACACAGTGTTGGCTGATAAACTAATCTCATTTGCTGTGCACCTGATATTTTATTGTGGAGGTTTTTTTCTTCTAATGGTGAAAACCGTGGACTCTGAATTGAATAATTTAACTCAGCAGAATAAATTACTTAAACAAAAGATTCAGTTTGAGATTATAAATTTCTTTTTGAAACTTCTGTTGAAAACATAATGCTTTAGCACTTTTTAGCTAGCTAGAGATTAGAGGAGTTTGAATAGAGTCATGTTATGCCAGCAGGTTTGTATGTATGTTATTCCAGGACACCATTTCAGACTAAAAACTTTCAGTAAGCTCCTGAATCACACTGTGATTAGAGGGATGGTAAGCAAGGCAGTGAAACTGTCTTCATTTATCATAAATTACAACTAGCATTTGAAGATAAAACACATGAAATACTAGCTGGAGGGTTCATTCTGAGAAATTATTAATATCATAAAGTTAACAAAATTACTGACTGTCACAAAGTGGATTTGCTACTTTTCTGTACTCTATGTGCAGAGTAAATGTGTATGTATACCTAAACTGGCAAAACAATCTAACCTGTACCTTTAGCTATGAATTTAGGGAAGTATTTTCTGAAGTAGCATGGATTTTAAAATATCTTGTTGGTTAGTATTATACCTGAGTGGTTTTTGGTTTTTTTTGACCAACCCATACTTGTGATTAATAAAACCCCTTATTGTTGTGTAAAGTAACTGTCCCTTTATACAGTTGTACCATAGGACACAGGTATCTCATGCATTCAGAGTCAAGTACACATTGCAGGACATGTAGAAAAAATTAAAAAGTAAATTTAAAGCTTCTATGTGCTCATATTCAAACAAAAAATCCATACAAATTCCTGTACGAATCTCTGTTTTGCTGAGACATTCTCTATTTCATTCATTGTACAGGTAAAAGTGGGCCCCCTGACTTCAGACATTGATCAAAATGCCAATATACTTGATGTCAAAAATTTGTGCTCTGAATATTAAATAAAATTATTCTGACAAAAAAGGGAACAGGAAATTATACTTCTATACAACTCCATGATCCTTTCCCCTGGAGAAAATGAATAAAAAAGAAAAATATGTTATGCACACAGTGCTCATCTCTGATACCTCTATCTTCTCAAAGGAGAAAGTGGACACAGTCTCTCACTAGTCATAGTTATCTAGCTTGCAGAACACCATTGTATTTAAAGGTGTGGAGGCAAAAACACTCAGATAAGTAACTGGAGAGTTCTGGCCTCTTCCATATCCACTGAGTTGCTTCAGGCAACAGAGCTTTTACATCTGCTCATGGCCACTAAATTACCTCTTTGCATGCATCTGGTAGATGCATGAAATTTATTTACATGAAATTTTTTTGGTGTTATCCAGTTCGTTCCTGCCTCACTTTTCTGAAGACTGAAGATATGAAGGACAAATACTGAAATGCTGTTCATATGCCAGTATTCAAGCTGTGCCATTTGTTGGCCATCTTCTTCATCAGCTGCCAGCCAGAGTTCTACATGCCTGGGTAATGCAGCTGCACACAGGAAAGCAGAGATGAGTTTTTTTAAGAGCTTCCAACATGTCTGCTTCCTTTCTGAATGCTTTGGGCTGGTACATCCTGAAAACGGACACTCACATATTCCAAGGAGGAGTCAATAAAACCTGTACGTGGCACCTTTTCTTAGCTTTGCCTCAGAGGGCACTGCATGCTGCCACACTTCAGTTGTCCTTGCTGATTTTACGTACCAGCTGGGTAGGGCTCGCCACTCTGCTCACAGACACCTTTATGCATTTCACAGTGCTGAGGCTCAGCAACAACCCTGCCACTGAGGGTATCTACAGACTGATTGCTCTTTCTTTGAGACTGTTAGGACCAGCAGCTCTTTTCAGCCTCCTCACTTTTTTCTATTCCAGGCAATCCAATCATTTTGACTCTCCAGTTTCACTTATAATTTTCTAAGAATATCCATCTCTTTCATACTCATTCTCCTCTGATCACTACCAAAAAAGGAAAGAACATTACCTGTCCCACACAGCTAAGGGTCTGAGCATCATACAGCACTTGTAACTGTGTAGAATGTGACTGTCACAAGTAGGAAAGAATAAATCAATAGTTACGTGAAAGAAAATACCTGTTAATCCTGATGCTATCTTATGTCACCCTAGGCTGCGTGCTCCAGACTCTACCTGCCCTAAGTTAGGTACCAATGTAGTATGACAAGCAAGAACAGGCAGCCTGACAGTTGCACCAAACATGGTCTGAATACGGTTTGAAAATACCACTTGTATTACCAGACCCCCCTAATAAAGCTTTAGGTGCTGACAATTGTTGTCTTTGTCCACTACTGAGACTGAGTTTTCAAATGGAATTACTAACATTCATACTCCTGTTTAGGAATTGTATGTTACTAGTAGTAGTCTAGTGAACACTGCTAAATCAGGCAGTTATCCATGCACTCCATGTGCCACTCCCATCAAACTATCTATACTAGAGGCTGATGCAACCCTTTATTGTTGAACTTATCCAGAAAGAACCCTTCTTTTTTTGAAGAAATTCCTCTGTGGGTTTCTCTCCAGGTTTCCTGGGTAAAAGCAAGATTTCTTAATCTCATTTAGGAATCGCTGTGGCTTACCAGGAGACACCAGGTGTGATGGTCCCTATGCAAATATGCACAGACATTCAGTATGCAGGTAAGTGGATTAAAGATTAATTTATCCTTCCCTAAGAACCAGTGAAAATTCTCTACAAACTCACAGAAAGACATATTAGCAATTTTTTTTCAGATGATAATTGCAATTAAACTTTGTTTCACTTACTTCAGGTAAAATCATCATCTTCAGGGAAAATTCAGGTGGAAGCACGTTACCACCCAACAGGCTTTTAAGCACAGAAGCAGAATCCTACTGGAGAAGTTTGCACTATGAAAACAGTTACAATATTAAATTACTCACAGGCAGGTAAAAGCCATCACATCTACAGATGTGGACAAAGGTACTAATGTCCATGTGATTTCCATAGTATTCTTAATTAGCTTGGAAGTTACACCAGACCGGCAAGGTGACTGCAAAAGAATAATTTTTCTACCCAAAGCATATAGTCTTTGGAAAAACTGTTCAATTCCTGGTTTTCATCTGCCTTTAATAACTTTAGTGAGCTGTTTAAAAGTAAATCTGTGAACCAAATTTGTTTTGTAATTAAAAAGTGAGTTTTAAATATGATTTGATGAAACAAAGCTCCTCTTTCTATTTAGGGTTTCCAGTGAAATTCTGCCTTCTTACACAGATCACGAAATGAGGACCTCATAAATCAAAATAATACCATGAAGAGCAGTATTTCTTAATGAACAACAATTATGTGATAGGAAGGTATGCTGAAAAATACTTACAAATCAAGTCAATGAAGTGTTGTGAAGAAATCTTAGTTTCCCTCCCAAACACTGCAAGAGCAGAGTGACAGTACACAATTTTGTAAGAGGCTGCATATTAGAAGTGTCCTGCCCAGCATGGGATCAGATTTTTGTGCTCTTGCATCTTATTTACTTGCTCTCTGATGGAGACACTTTGTACAGGGTGTTCACTTGATGTTTATAAAACAGTATAGACACTATGCTACTTTCTTTTCCAAGAATGTCTTTTACTGTTGTTATAAGGCAAGAAACTGTTTTTCATCCTATGACAACCTCAAACTGTCCTTGTAGCCCTAAAGCTCCCTTGCCAATGAAAGGCACTGAGTTGCAAACGCTCCTAAGAGGACTAAGTGTCTTTCTAGGCTACTGGGTCAGTTTTGACACTTAAAGAGGTAATCCAGACAGATCTCAAGGGGATTGGAGAGGAAGCCAACAAGTTGATCCTCCTAGGGAAGGAAAATAACAGCAACTCTTTACAAAAGCAAAAAAATCTTCTTTTTGAAAGATTCTCTAAGGGACTAATCCTCAGCTAACCTAAGATCTTAGTATTTAAAGCACACCAAAAGAAAAGATCTACACTGAAACAGTGCTCTGGTAGAGTGCATCAGTCCAGAAAGCCTAAGCTTGCAAATATGTTATAATCACAAGAGTAATATGGCTAAATGTTGGTAATGAAGGCTACATGTAAATATGTACTCAGGGTGAATTCAGCATTCCAAGCAGCCATAAAACAGAGTTCTAATATTCTTACAGAAATTAAAAGCAGGTACACTGCCTATATGAAATGCTGGGAAATAAATTTTTTCTGCCAGCAGTGTGCAGCCTGCATTTGATTATAGCTAAGTCAACTTCTTTAAATAAGTACTGAAGCAGTGTCAGTGTCACTGATTCTTTCTGAGGGACTCCATTAGAAATCACATTAATGAGTGAAGGAATAGAAGTACTGATCTGTATCACTCAACTCAATGTGAGTTGATACCATACCACAGACAAGTTGATGTCTTGACTTTTGTCGCCTTGAAGTCTGCAAGTGGTCTAGGTTATACTTAGCTTCTGCTTACTGAATCTAATCTTATTTGCTTTACTTTCTTCAATAAATCTGTTCCTCAATAGGACAAGCAGGAAAAAATTATTGCATGGTAATGATGTTCCAAGTGGTCCTTTAAAGTTATTAAAAAAAAAAAAGCAAAGCAAGTATTTCATAGAAAACATTGATTCAAGAAACTAATTTTCACAAGTCGTTTTCTCTTCACTATTTTAGCATTAATCAATACTTAATAATGAAAACATGAAGCTTCAAATTTGCTTCTATTTCCAAATCATGGTACAATGTTATTACATACTGTAGAAGATCTGAAGCATTGTTTTAAAATAAATAATCCATCACATATTCTTCATTTCTATGCCTGTATTCACTAATGCTGTGGATACAAACCCATCTTTTTTACTTGCATGGTTTCTCATACAGTACCTTGCAGAGCTGATTCACCTACAGAGAAGTTACCAGAATTTTTCTACTTCCTTTACACTACAAGTCTTCAGTATTTTTGGGATCAGTGAGCTACTGGCTTTTCTTTCGCTCCAATTGCCTTGAATCCAACTGAAATAACAAAACTGCTAGATATGTAAACCACGCAATTCAGTCGCCTTGGCTAATTATTACATGTCATTTTTAATACCTTTTTAGAATGGTCAACTTTTTGGAAAACTTTATTATTAAAAAGCCTGAAACCTTCTTCAAAAGAACAATTTTCCTCTGTTTGTATTGGGTGAGTAGCAAAATATTTTGCACCTGACGTAATTCTCTCTATATTTTAGATCAAAAAGTTAGTAATCTAGTTAAAAAGGAGCATGCAGACATTTTTAAGGATTAAACCACACTCATTGGGAAAAAATATTTTTAAAAAATCACTTTTATCAGCATCATGAAAAGTAATATCAATTGTCATTCACACACATACACACACCTTTCTTTGTACTACTGTTCTTTCTTTGTACTACTGTTTGGGTTTTTATCCCTTACTCATTTCATTGTGATTTGGCACCAAACGACACAACTGCATTCATTGTTCATAGCCGTGGTTTTTTACAACACCTTCAGAGGCACAAGCATGAGGCCCTCCTGCAGTCTTCCATGCCTTCCTGTTCCACGTTGGAAAGGAAAACATGCTAACATTATTCCATCACGGAGGCATGCAGCATGTGCAGTTGGCTCACAAAAGTGCAAGCTTAAAGTAATATTTGAGCATATTCAGGCATTCCAGTCACATTATCTCATCAGGTTATTTTCAAGAGAGTAAGACCATTTGGAGAAGAGCCCTAGGCAGAATGGCACAGAAGCTGAGGATAAAAGCTCAGAGGCATGGCAGAGAGGGCAGGACAATGGGATCAGAACTGCTGGGCACACGAAAGAAAACTGGAGACTTGACTGCAAGCCATTCTTTCCCACTCAGACTTGAATTTCCCTGCTGGGGTAGCCAGTTGACACATGTCAAAGCAGAATCCATCTCCGTCTTATAATTTAGACACTGTGAATGAACTTAGAAAACAGGGAAAATGTGACTGCCTGTGTAAATCTGTGGTCACTCCAGACCTTGGTGCACTATAGCTTCCTACAATTGCAGCCTTAAAAATGTTTAGGAAGAAAAGGAAAAGTAAGATCTAGGATCTGCTTCCCTTCCCTCTCCTTCTTCTGATCAAAAAAATGAAATTTTAAATACGATTTGGAAAATGAATGTTTGTCTAAATTATAAGAGGCTCACAGTTTCGGTTCAACATCTGTTGCTTCCTTTGAGAGGTTTGGGGAGTTGTCAAGGGTTTTATTTTTTTTAATTGAGCAGTTTAATTTTTTTTTAATTGCTATCGCTTTATGATATTGGTATAATTTAACACATTAGGATGATATAATGACCAGACACTGCACTGCTGCTTCACTGAAGAATAGCACACAGCTGCCTGTGCTTTGTACAAGTAAAGGATTGAAAATAATAGCCTTGTGATGAAAGCACATTGAGTTGTTAATCACTTTCTAATATTCTGTGCACAGAAATATTCTTGAGATATCTGAAATTAGACACAAGAGGCAAAAGAAGGCATCATTTTTGAGTGGCCATGTGACAACTATGGCCATCTAACGATATGTGTGTAGAAATTGCTCTACTTGAATCCACAGTAGAAAGAATACCTAGCCTTTCCCTGTTTGATACATCTGTCAAACCTGTAATTTTCATTTCAGAAGAGTAAGTCCCAAATAGTATAGAAGACGACGATTCAGATGTGCCAGTGCAGAAATTATATAAGTTGGGGAAAGTACAAAGATATAATATATGTATCTCAGAAGAGACAAATAAAGACAAAAAAAAAAAAAGTAAAAAATATCAAAGGATCTGAACAGATTCAGAAATGAAAAAGTACACTTTCTTTCTGTGGGTCTACTGAGATATATTTCAAACATGAAGTCATTTCCAGACAATATAGCCTTCTTTAAGAAACTTAAGCCAGCATTCAACTTACAGTGATCAGTCTCTTGAGTGCATTAAAAAGAATGGTTTGGACAAAGAGTAAAAATCAAGTTTTCTATAAAGGACAAGCATTCATTAACATATATCTGTTTATTGGAATAATCTTAAGATTTAAGATAGTGAACATTAGAAAGGCCATACTAGTTCAGGCTTATGGTCCATCCTTCCCAGTATTTGCTCTCCGGTAATGGCAAGAGTAGGTGCTGTATAATAAAAGCATGCAAGCCTGCACACTCTCTGTTGTCTACCCCCTCCACACTGTCCTAGCCTCCATGGTGTGAGTTTGGTTTTAAAGTGAAGCTTGTTAAAGGGTGCCATCTCTGTTTACTTCTATCAGTTTAGGAACCTACTGCATGTGATTATTCATCTCAATTTTTTTTTTCTAGCCTGCTGATACAACATCCCATGAAGTTCATGAAGCTCACTGCTAGACAAGAACAGTACTTTCTCTTACCCATCCTGAACTGCTCTGATAGTTTTCTCATGCGACCCTTGGCTGTACCACTGTGGGATTTGATCACCAGCAGTTCAGCATTCATCACTGCCCTTGTGGTTTTTGATTTGATCACCAGCAGTTCAGCATTCATCACTGCCCTTGTGGTTTTTGAGCCTCAGCCACATGGCTTCTTCTAAGGACTCTCCCCTCTAAAATGAGCACTCTATTCCTTTCCTCAAAACATAGCTCTCCCAAGCTTTTAACCAATTTAGCTGTCCTTCTCTACCTGCTTTACCTCTGCTACATGTTTCTTTCGGTCACAGGCAACACAAAGTCATGCTAGCAGACCCAGGACCTGGGTGAGGGTCAGCAGACAGGCAGTATGTTTGCAGAACAGCAGCAAGCTGGGAGGAAGCAACATGGGGTCACTTGAAACATGCTACATTACATCCCTTCCAAACACCAGACTGCCAAGACCAAAGGAAGGGGAACTTCCACTTAAAGAAATATGCATATTTGCCTATTTTATTATATAAAATAAACGTATGGATGGGCTATAGAGGTTTCCCATCCTTTCCCAATGAGTTCCAAATGCTAGACTCTCTCAGTTTGCTATCATCTGTGACATCCAAAGTTAGTAAGACAAATTCATCAGGGGCAAAAAAGATGAGTCCCATAGTACATTTTCTGATACTGCACTCTCAAGTCTCAGCTTACCCTTCTTTATGGGAGGCTCTAAAGGTATAATACAGTAATATGAACTTTTCCAAAAAATTAGAAATTAAATTGACTAGCACAAAATCATTTGCAAATCATTCAAATGCATTTGTAATACCTAGTTTGAAATTCATGCTGCATTACTCAGTCACCCAGCTTATTCATACGGGAGTAATGAAACTGTTATCTGACTTGCATATTAACTAGTCAGTACAAATCAAAGTATACATCTGACTTTCACCTAACAGTTTTTGATTGAGCTGCAAGTTTCAAGATTATGACCAATTTAAGAGGAAGGTGATTTGCAAAACTAGCCACCAGAGCCCTACTTGTAAACTTTTATAGTGTGCATGTAATTAAAAATTTGCTTCCAGCTTTGAGCATTCATGCTTAAAAAATATGTTTTCCACTCCTCTTATTACAAAAAAAAAAAAAGGCATTTTTGGACAAAGGTTGTTACAGTCAAGTTAAGACCAGCCTTCAATTCAAAATCCACTGGGCATATTGTAATAAATCTGAAGTATAATTGAAATATGGGTTTCTTTTAGAACTTAAGTTTCATACTTAATTTGAAGTAGAGTATTCCTCTATGTTGACTACCACACAAAGAAACAGGAATAAATTTGAAGTAAGCTGAAAGAATGATAAATTTTTATGTTTTTTATCAAATTTGGAACTTTCGTTGGTCAGATATACTGACTTTCTAAACAACATCCAGCTGTTATATGACAGACAGCTTACTTTTACCTGTTACTGTCACCTAGAGACAACAGTCAGGCATGCAGGGCATTTTCTGAATGTGTCTTAATGGCAGTGTGTGATTCAAAGAAGAGTATACAAGAGAAATTGTAAATATATACAAATAATGAAAAAACATTTAAGTTTTGTACATTTTTGACTGTTAGAAGATTTTAGAAGTTCCTAAAATGACAACACAAATGCAAAACAACTACTGAGTCACCTTCTTAAAAGGCTAGTAGATCTGTATTTTGGTATTGCAGACTGTACCACTGTATTCCAAATATTTGTTTTCCTCTACTTCCATCTAATAAAACTCATTTCAATCCAAAACACATGATGAATTTGGGAGGGGAAAAAAAAGAATACGTTATGAGATCTCAGTGTATCAGTTCCAAATATATGGTTTACAGGACACCATTTTGCTTGCAAGATCTTCTGATAGTCTCAACTACAGGAAATTAAATGGCAGAAAACAAAGCATTTCCCAGAGTGTTAGTGGCTCAGCATTGCAGCCTGTGAAACAAAGCAACATAAGAACAATATTGCAGGGAGTATTAACTCATACACTCACTGGGCATCTAGTATGTGTGATCAGGTAAAGAAAAAATTTCCAGCTATAAGTCTTTCGTTAATGTTTTGCTGTTCTAATTCAGAACCTTTTGGTACTTTCTCACTTTGCAATGAAAAAGGAAACCACTGTTAATAACAGTGAAGAGGCTTTACTTGTGAAAGATGAGCCGGGATATTGCCTGAAACAATGACTGACAAAACAGATGTCAAATGTAACATTATTTGCATCAAAGGCATTATCAAAGATCCCTCTTACTTTTCTAATTCTTTCTTTTGTTCTGCATGTCATCTTTAATAGACTGAAAGTCATGCTTCATCCTTTGTGGTGGAGGGCACAGGAACAGACGCGAAAGACACAACACTTCGGAACAGGGAGAAATAAGTGGTCCTGTGTTTTAATAACAAAAACCCAGAGCAATCACCTACAAAGAATACATTAATGATATTTGAAATTTCAACCCACAATTGTAACTGGGCTTCTATGTCAAAACTGGTCACAAAGTTAGGTTTTATTCTACAATATGACTATGAATAAATGCCATACTTGCCATAGAGGAAGTGACTCTAGTATCTAGACTCAGGCTCTGTCTGCTATTGGAGCCTGCATGGTACATAAGTAACAGACAACAGTGGTAAGGGCCTTGTTTCTGCTCTACTCCATATTTAACAAAGAGGTACAGAATGTTACCTTCACTTTGGAACTAGGCATTTTTGTAGGTATTAGTCAATCAGCTAGTTATGATATTAGCATGGACTTATACAAAAAATAAGGAGAAAAGTTTACCTTAAATGAATTGCAGAATCCAGGGCACCAGAGGAAACCAACTCTAAATAAAGAATTTGTCTGTGCTAATATAAACACTGAAGTGCATAACCTATTCGTTAAAGCTTTAGGAGCCTTTGTGAGAGAGGGCTAGGGCTCAAAACACAACTTTTGACAGATTGGGCACTTGCAATGTAAGCAGAGACCAAGTAGCTTCTGAGCAGCAAGGAAACAGAGCTATGGCTTAGAGGTTATGGAGAAGAGATTTTTCTGGAGATCTGAGTTGCATTTATTCTTTCTTTCAGAAATTGCCAGACATATCACAAATCTTAGAGAAGGGATACATTGAAGGCAGCTTATATAAAACTTCTTTGTATTTTACTGTCTTGCCCTGAAGAAATGCATTTTCTGCATTTTCAGTTTTATCTTAGTTTTTGTTCAAATAAAACCCGGCTTTAGAGACTTAAAGCCTCCCTGTGGTTTCTTACAAGGCAAACCAATCTTTGGGCTATGTGGGGAGCTTGTCACACAGTCCCCAAAAGCATAGCTACACAGGAGGTCATGAAGGAGTCATGCACTTTGAGTGAAAGAGTCAGTAGAAACACTGCTAGGAGAAGGAGGTGGTGAACAGGACAACTCTTTCAATTTGGCATCCTCTTCACTGGGACACTCATTCAAGTATACTCCCTTTCGCATGCTCTGAATCTCACCTCCAATCTTTCATAGCAGTGAAATATTAAAAGAGAAACACATTCACAGACAAGGATCCCCAGCCTGATGGAGGTGAGGTTTTCTCCCTTGAAAATGAGAAAGACTAGCTAACAGGTGTTGTAATGTATGATCTGATACTTTTTAAAAAAATAACCTCTGCAAGCCTATCAGGTAGGAGGAAATTAAAATTGCATTTCTTAATTTCTGTATTTATGCTGTTGTTACTCTTTTGGCCAGCATTCAGAAGAAAAACCAACATTTCCATCCCACCCTGTGCTCTGGGAAAATCTGTTCCTGCACAAGGGTTAGTGGGACAGAAACAAGTAAGTGTTAAATGTCAACTATATGGTTGTGATAGAAGGTTAATGCAGATTTAAAGCCAGTATTCCATATCATGCAAGGAGAGCTTTTGTTTTCTTGTAACAAAAGCATGGATGCACAAAAAAAATACCAATTTTTCACTACCAATATAAAATAAATTGGGATATTTTTAAATGCAACATTTTTTTTTTCAAGACCAAATTTGGTGAAAGCTCATCAACAAGTCTGTGCAAGACCATGTTATCCATGAAAACTGTGAGTTGGACACATTCATGTTGTTTGAAAAAAAACTCCTGCACCCCAACATTTGGGACAACAGCTTTGGGTTTCCCATTTAAAAAAAAAAAAAGAACAAACAAAAAAAAAAAAAAAAAAAAAAAAAAGCTGCATTTTTTTTTAAATAACAAGTACCATTTTTTAACAGAAGTACTTAATCTTTGCTGTGATCAAATAATAACTTTTCAACTGTGTAATATGACAGCAATACAGTATTCAAAATAAGCAGTTATGAGGTAAAATGATTTATTATGAAAACAAAAATGTAGAGGGAATAAAAGAAAAAAAAGTGAAAGACACATATTTTTTAAGTCATGCCTGTATCATCAGCCTGGAGATCCAATGTCAGACTGAGGTGGCTGGGTCCCTCCAGGTACCCCAGCCAGAAGCTGGGCAGCCCCTGCCCTGGGCATCAGGCACAGCTCTGGTAATGCGATCAGGCTCCTGGCCCCGGATGGAGCTGGAGTGGAGCCAGGCAATGACTATAAGGGCAGGGGGTGCCCTCAGGACACTACCACTCCCTTGTCCTCCCTGCTCCAGCCACAAACTCCAGTGATGGCATGGTGTGGACCAAGATGAGGAAGGGGAGTAGGGCATGGAAGGTCTGTCAGCACCCACATGGGGCACTAATGAGCCCATATAGCCCCAAGCAGCCCCTCCTGGGGCTTGGCCCACACCCATGGGCCGAGGAGCTTTATTTAACCTCTGCCAGGAAGGCTCTACTTCTTGCCTGAGTTGTGTCAGAGGATTGCTGGGTTCTGCCTCAGCTACAGCCCCTGCCTGGCTGTGGAGCACCTTGATCCTGGCCTGGATCTCAGCCTGGCCCTGCAGCCCTGCCTGGTGCTTGCAGGACCTGACCTTCACCTGTGGTTTCATTTCCAGGTTGGTGTCACACTGGCTTCACTGCTGCTGTATTTTCTTACAGTCTAGGCTTGTGACTCAATCTGCCTGTTGTTTCCAGGTCTGTCTTGCTTTCTGTGTTGGGAGTGGTGGACAAGCCTAAGCTGGTGAGCCCTGTGCCCTACAGTCCCACTTTCCTTAGGCAACAGCCATGCTTTCAGTGCTTTCTGGTCGTAACCTGCTGTTCCACCCTCATTTTTGGTATTGCAGCATATTGCTTCCAGGTGTGGCACAACAGAGGTATTCCACGCACAGCTGGAGCTTAGCTGGTAACCAGCTGTGCTATAACAACAGAAAGGTGATTTTGTTACTGCCTGGTTGGGGGAAGATTGTATATTTATTTTGTTTATTCTCCTTCTTTTCTTTATGTACAATACATTATAGTAAGACAAATTTTACTGAGAATGTGTGCTTATACACATACACTTGAAAAAAAATCCACAACTCCCACGACCTTAAATAAGTTGCAATTTCAAATTCTAATGGTTGAGATCAGCTTATGTGTTTATACTGCTCCACTGAGCTAAACAAGAGAGCATTAATAGTTGTAGAAAATAAAGTTTTGCGTATCAAGGAACAATAACTGTGTGTGGGACAAATGCTATAGGCACAGCCCAGAGTGTCTCAGTTGCCAGTTATTGTTAACTGGCTCTAGAATGCCAGGTGAAAAAATCCACCCCCTTAGTATCAGGCCTCCAACAGGTGTCAAAAAAAGCCCACTTGAATAGTATTATGGCAATTCCCAAAAAATACTCTGCAGGCCTTGGTAGTGTAAACATATGCCCCAGCAGTAATGTTAGTACTTCTAACATACCTCAGTTTTTAAAAGGGGGCTTGGAAGTAGCAGCATGCTGAATCAGCCCTGGAAACAAAACACTTTTGTATCCAAAATACCTAGCTGCCAAGAAAAATATAATATAATCATGGTTTTATGTAATATGACTATATATTTATTGCATAATTTTAATACACACTCTCTGCTGCATCAGCAGTTGAACAAAAGTTTCAACATCTCTCAATACACAGCCTTCAGTTGTTCATAACATAAGGCAACACATTTCTCACACTGGGCAGCCAGCCCTTGCTATTTTGTCCAAATCTTTTCCCAAGACTGTCAGCTAGATCTGCATAGTCTCTGCATAGCTCTGCAACATCTGCTTGGGTTAGCTTTAATATCAGCAGAAGCTAGTCCTGTGCCATTTTATTAAATTCTTCAAGGCAAGTGGTTAGCATTTCTTCTAGACCAGATGGAGCCTAACACGGCACAATATCCCTCACATTTAAACCTCATCCATTTGATAGACTCCGGCATAATGACCAACATGTGATGCCCATTGTAAGTTCTTCTGTATCTATTGCTGCTTTGGCATGGCACATTATACCAGCTGGAGAGGGAGCTGGTTAATGGAACACAAAATGTCCCTCACTGCTCTGCACCAAACTGCAGGAATCCTCCCATATTCTCATTTATTTACCCTGGTAAGCGAATAACACAGCTGTAGTGTTCAGCAGGGCTCCTCAGGGACAGATAAGTTTGCCTGATCAAATAGAAATGAAGAATTAGAGCCCCACCTAGCTTGCTTGAGATGAGTTGGGTCAAAACTTTGCTTTATCATTCATCTTCAGTCTTACAGCAGCAAACTTGGTCCTCTTGGATATCTAGTCTTAATGCTGTTAGAGGCTAATTCAGTCACAAAGGAACATCATAGCTGGACCATACTTGTCTGTTGCTTCTCGAAGTCAGTGCATTTGCTGGAAACCTGGCACAGGATCTGGTTTCTGGCTATCATTCTGTGCCTAGGTGGATTCTCAGGGAAAAAAACTAATAATCTTGGGTTTTCAGAGTCTGAAACACTTCTTCCTCCTTATTATTAGACATTCACTGTAACTGCAAGTAATAAAGTATATGCATAGTTTCAGCAGGTGTTCAATTTGAACAAAAATTCTCTCAGTTCCATTCAAAACAATTCCCATGCACCTAAGAGTAGGTGAGAGCAATATGTGCCCATTTAACTTTCACTGCCTATACCTGCTACCCTACACTCTGCTTAGTGGGTGCAGGTTGCACAGATTCATGCAGAGTGTGCAGAGTGTGGAAGGGGAGTATGCACTTAGCTTTGCACTTAGTATCTGAGAGTTTTTGACTAACTTTCGCAATCTCTGGCCAGCTGAACCCACTTAACTAAGTTTGGACCTGCCTTGCATTTTGTGCATCTCAGTGAAGGAGAATTTTCTCACATCATAGGGTACATGAGAGCAGGCCTTTTCCCTGTGAAATAAAAAATGCACATTGAAGTGAAAGAGGTTGACTATTCCACTTTACACTAATAGAAGTCATATTGGCCTCCAACTGATTAAGGCTAAAATTTTGGAGGTGAAAGCCTTATCATTAAGACACCAGAAAATGCCATACAGATACAACAATAGTAATGGCATTCTTTTATTTTTCTAATTAATCTCATAGTTGTTATGGATTTCTGAATGTTACCCTAGTATTCATGGGGCACACTTTCAGGGGGCAAGCAGAAATGTGGTATATCATTTGTCCAAACTGACCTTCTTTGAGCTATCTTGGAGGTTACCGAGCAACTCACCTTTGACAAATGCATACCGAGAAGCTCTTGCAATACCATTCTGTTCCAGAAATGTCATAGGCAATTTTCCATAGATTCAATGACCCTAAATGATATTGCACCTTCTGCCTGGTAAATAATTGATATATGTCTGATAAAGCAAATGGAGCAGGAAGATTTCTGTTGCTTGACTCTTCAAGCTGTCTGTTTTCTGAGGTTTTGGCAACTCTAAACCAATTAAAAATATATATTCACTATAAGATCAAGTAAATCATAGATTCCACACATGAAATTCTCTGAATGAATTCTCAGAATGAAGTAATTCAGAGGGTTAATTTGCCATTATGAGTCTTAAGATTCTAAAAGGCCAGTAGACCACAACAATTTTAACAGTAGATTAAATTTTTAACATTTCTCTAGGCTTTGTTTGCATTGTATACAAATAAAACGACTGTTGAAAGCATTAGCTTGCAGCTAGAGTTCTGAAGTGTGTTGTGTTCTTAATCCAGTAATGATGAAGATATTCCCTTAGTTTCTTAGTACTTTTATTATAAAATTGAGATATTCATTTGCTCTCGCAATATAAGGAGGCATTAACAAGGGTTAGTGTAGAACTTAGTGCTGTATCTACCAACAAAATATTAAACATTTCTGAGTGCCACAGCCAGAACACGCATATAG